GAAACTCTCTAATGTCTGTCACCATGGAATTGCCCATATACTCGCTAAAACTGTAGATTTTCTACTTTTGCCCAATTAGTTACTGGGAATTATTGTATTTCTGTTTATTTGTGTATTTATCATTTGTTTAAATTTAAAATTGAGATTTTTGTTTGTATATCAATGAGAGAAAGTTAAAAATGTTGTATATAGTTGTGCAGCCTAGTTATGGTAAATAAAAAATAGTCTCAATGAGGAGCGCCCTCTATTGCCCATGAATTGCTAATTACTGTTTAATGAATGAATTAATGTATAATAATAATGAAATAATAATGGAAATTTCTATAGCGTTGAATCCATTTAAAAAATGCTCCCTGGTGCTTTACCATCGAACTATTGATATAAATAAAAGGAATATAAATACAATTTTACTAATGTGATTATTTAAAACTCAAAGTGTATGATCCACACTAACAATTGGTTTAAACATGATGCATAGGAGTGCTTTGTTACAAGGTGTAAGATATGGTTGACATGAATGAAATCAAGCCAAATTTGTGTGATGTAAAAGATGTTATCAAACAAAGTTAAACATTAGTAACTTCTTCGCAATATACAATTGAAACTGTTTTTTTTTGTAAAGTGACATTTTGAAACTAAATTTCTAATGGAAAAAAAGTTCTTAGAGGAAAAATTAATGTTTTAAGGAAACAAGATCCCTAAATATTTGCTTTTTGAGATGTCCTTAAATTTATGGAAAGAAAAGGGAAATGGAAAGTGTTTTTGAAATAATTTGAGCATTCTAAAATGAATTGGCATAAAAATCTAGCCAGATAGACACAGTTAAAAATATTTGGTCTGTAGAGGGCAGTATGCATATATTGTCTGTAACATGTTTGTAAATCAATGTTTACCTTATTTACATTTAGTTGTACAAGCAATTATTCCTGAAATAAGGTGTTACTGTATTGGAACTGGTATTGTTTTTCTTTTTGAAGTGGTTGAAACATTTCAGAATTTGAAAAAAATAGTTGTATAAGATTTGAGGCAAAAATCACTGACAATTTTAAGTAAAATCAAGATTACCAAATTTAAAAACTCCATTTCCACATTCAAACAAAAGTTTGGCCTTTTATAGTTAAAAACAACTTTGTGTGCCCCCCCCCCCCCCCCCCCCGAAGAATAAAATTAGTGAACAAATTTAACGTAGGACTTGCTTTTAAAATATTGAGCATTGACAAATTTAGAATCTTCTAAAGGGAAGTAAATTAACGTCTACATTTATTAAACAGAATTGTGTTTCTTGTTAAATACATGTATGTGAAGTTTAAAAACTGTATTATTAACTTTAAAAAAAAGTGTGAAATAGGTGTGTAAAAAGTGTAAATAAAGGGCAACAATAGAAAGAATATGGAATAAATGTCTAAATTGAGAACCAGAATTTTGGGTCTGTTGTGGTTTCCTTCTGAATATTCAGTTTTCTGCTTTTTATTATTCAATTATTCAAATGAGCCAGGCGGCCATTTTTTTTTTTTTTTTTATATTGCGCAATCTAACCTATAAATATAAGTTCCGAGAACAAATTTTCGAAGAGGCCAGTGGCCTGGCGGTCTAGCTCGCTGACCGCCAGGCGCCGGGTCCCCGGTTCAAAACCCAGCCGGGGACCCGGGAGGAGAATTTTTCCTCACAGCAGTGATAAAATTTTAAAAATATATAAAATAGTAGCATGGAGCAGGGTTGAACCGCGTACCTTCTGCATGCCAGCTCTCTTTTTTCCCGCTCTGCCATGGCACTTTCTTGAAAAAATATCCGGTTATCGTAATTAAAACCCTTAGGTTGTTGGACTTAGACAATTTTTCAGCTTTGGCCAGAATTTCAGAAATCAAGGGGTACCCCTTGAAATTTTTTCAGATCTGAGGGTCTGAGGCTGGGAGGTTGAGAAGTTGGGAGCTGAAGGGGTTTGGAGCTGGAGGGTAGGCTTTGGGACTTTGGGCTGACTGGTTGATGGTTGGGAGGGAAATAGAATATTAGTTGAAGGGCTTCCTGACTGATAGGTCTGCAAGTTGATAGGACTAGGAATTGGTCTTTGGGATTTTTGGACTTAAAGTTTATTTGGCTGGACTTAGATTTGGGAATATAATTTCCTCTTATTAGTTGGACAAAAATTTGGACTGAATATTCAGACCTCTTTTTCGAAGCCCTGCCCTGTCCTGTAAGTTCAGATCGGTCTTCGCAGCCAATCATCAGTCAGATTGGTAGTTAGCCTTTTCCTTTTTTGGAGATTGCTACACTAGTTGAAGCCTGCTTGAGACCACATAAGACTGCTGGAATGCTGGTTACCAGTGGTGTGTGAGGTGGATGTAGACTTCTTAGCCTCAGGGTCTCGATACAACCTGGTTGAAGGGCCTTCCTCACTTGACCGTGTAGCGTGCCGTCAAAATGGGTTTTCATGCTTCGACGATTTTGTATGGCTTATCGCCCTCTCTTGTCAAGGTGTTTAGAGGTCACATGATAGTCTGGTGCCAATGAAAATTTCAGGATTTTTAAACAGGAGTAATTTTTACACTTAATTTTTAGAGGTATGCCTAAATGTTTGCAAATCTTAGATTTGTTTCTCAGTGCAACAGTATAATGCAAAGTTTCTACGGCTTCGATTATATTTTACATTAGTACTTTTCTAAATATTTAATCATTTTTAATTGTTACACGATTCCTCTTGAAATTTTATGGAGTTCTTAATTGAAGACTTTAGTTTATGAACAATCGACCATGGACACATTTTTAATTAAGCTCAGCATATATTTCCAGAATTGTTGTCCAGACAAATTTGTTGTTCTTGTTGCGTATTAGGAATATTTTTCATTCCGATTTAAATTTTCACGCAGAACACACTTTGTTGTTTTTGTTATATTAATTGAATTAATTTGCTGTAGAAATTAAATAGGCTTTTTAAAGACATCATCTGAAAAACCAGTGTGTGGGTTTTTATGGGGGCTTTTATTTTTGCATTATTTTGCATTGCAATTTTCTCGCTAGAAACAGGCTATAATTGATTTAGTTACATTAACTGTATTGTTTGATATTCCTGTTAAAATTTTTCAGGCTTCACAAAAACGTCATGATGAGTTTATAACGGAGGAAATTTCACTTTAATACAATGGGTATTTCTCATGATATCCTCCAGACAACGAGAATGTTCTGTTTCATTAGGTTGAGTAAAAAAAAACCATGTTTCTCGTCCGGGTTTTTGAAAACAAGGAGGAAGCGGGCCTTTTTATTTTTCTTTTTATTGCCTTTTTACAAATTTCCTGCAACCGTTGGTGTTTCCACTGTTCAAAGACACTTTTAAAATGAAAGATAAGTTAGACAAGAGAAATGAACATATTTACAGTGTCATTTAGACTTGTATTGGTCTAAAATTTATTTTCCGATGAATTTGTGGACTTTTTCGGTGTTTTTTTTACTGCATTTTTCAAAACAAAAAAAATAATTAAAAAAATCCAGGCGGCCTCCAAAAAGGAAGCAGGCGGGGACGAGAACCTTTTTTTTTTTTTACTTTGCCTTAATGGTTGATTAAATTCGCTTTGTACTTGTTTTCCTGCTGAATTAACACACTTTACAATATTAAATTTGACAATTCCTCTTCAAATTTGGGCTGTTTAAGATGTCAAATTTTCAAATGTTCGTGACGCGCATCGGCTGCACTGTATTTGGAAGACATTCCAAGCAGCAGGAGCGCATGTTTAGAACATTTTGCACACTACGCGCACATGGTGTTGAACACGCAGTCTTAATTTCCTACAAAGATGGCGTCCTATGAGAGAGATCTATTGGAGAATCCGGGCCTCGTCATCACAACCAACCAACAAACAAAATTTCAATTGACTTGCATTCTGATTGTACTTTTTCCACTGAACACACTCCATTGTGTTTTGTTTTATTGTTGCAAGAAAAACTATTGCAATAAATTGTTACGCACTCCCTGTTATTCTAGATTTGTATCTGCACATGCACATGTGCACTTAATCAGGCCATAGAGCTATAGTAAATTATTAGAGAGCTTTTTCATATATGAATAGGATGAAGCTTGCTGGGCGCATGCATCCATGTTTGTGCTTAAGTCATCAGAAATTAGCTTAAATGTTGTATGTTTATACATTTTAAAGCTGTTATTACAACTTTCATTTAATTCTGTGCTAATTCACACTAATGCGCTGCACAGATTTTTGCATTTTGTTCACTGTAGATCACGTGCCTGCTCAGCCATATATCTGTTATATTTTGGCAACACATTAAGCGCACAAAAACTCAAAAGAATTGATGTCATATTGGCGACGTGACTTGCACATTGATCTCGCTACATGTACATTCTTCAAGCACTGTGTTGAGCTCAGACAACTCTGAAGTGTGCAAGGGAATGAGGAGTAAACGCTCTCATAATTTACTACAGCTCTATGGAATGGACATTTTAACTGATAAACTACTATTGAGACAACAGAGGTCAAAGGTCACCCAGGTTCACTGACCTTTAATGTTGTAATGTACATGTCAACAAAACATATTTTCAACTGACAGTTTCCAAGATCGGTTTCAATTAACTTCAAATTTTGACATTAGTAGCCTATCATCTTTTTACATACAAAATTAAGCCAACAAAAAAGCAAAGGATTTTTCAATTGTTTTACACTAAGGCCAAAAAAAAAATAATCGGTCTCTGGTCAGACCAATGTTTCGGAATTGATGCGGCGATGCAGCTTTTTTTTTTTTTACTTTTTTTTTTTCGAGCTTTGATTGTACAGACAAGGTGGGGGGTACTATTTTGCCTTTTTTGGTGTCCTCATGTACATTAGTGTCATTTGCCTTGGTGCAATTTTCCATTCCTTGGTGCTCTTTGGTAAAAAAATTTGAGGTGCGCCAATAGAGGGCGCTGTTGGAGCTACGGCGGAAATTTTGAAAAAGATTGACGCGCATGATTAAAATCGACGCATGCACTGACCAGAGATGGACTAATTTTTTTTTTTGCCTAACATGAATAAAGTTAAATACAAACTACTCGCAGTTTACAATCATCTTCAATTTCACAGAATTGATACAATTTTTTTATTCCAAGGCCTAATTATTTCGTTTTCGTTCTTTTCTTTGAATTATGCCGTCAGCAAATTTTTTGGCAGGTAAGGCAACAAACATATAAATGCATAGACGGCCAAATCCTATTCAAAACTACATGAGCATTTCGTGATTTGACTAGCGCCCGACTAAACTCAAAACTATGGGCAAATTCACCTCTCGGTATAGGATTTTACCCACAGTCGACGAATTCCAGTCAAACATGTAAAAAAAAAATTGTAAAGTTTTTGATTGTAAACCAATCCCTTGTTAACTAAATATGATTTCCGTAGATTAAAATCAATACGGTACCCAACATTTTCAAGCAACTTTTGAGTAATACAGCCTTTACCAAAATAATTTATGAATAGTATTTAAATGTATGTACTGTACTAAGTGCGTTGGCGCATTGAGTGGCATCGCAGTTATGCGCGCTGTCAACAAACATTTTGCCCAATTATTAAATCACGGTTTCACGTGCACGACTGGCGGTCTATGTGTTAATATGTCTGTGAAAAAAACATATAGCATTATGGCGCCCTCTATGGCTACTGGCCATTGAAGAAAAATTAATTAACTTAACTATCACTTGTGGATGCTGCAGCTATGATGAACAGCGCCCTCTATAGGAATGGACAGAGAGGTGTCCTCATGTCACATGACTGACTGGCTCCATGCTCCCCACACCTGGGAAAATAGAAGACAAAATTGCAAATTTAATAAATTTATCAAATTTAAATTAAAAAACATTAACAGTAAAAAAATGAGTATTGTTTTGTTGGGTGACTGAGGGTAGTTGATCCCAACTACATGTAATGCTGTTGTGCAAATTTTAGTTCGGAACGTGTAGTTCATGTCAACAAACTTTTTTAGGGCCCCTCCCTGCAAAATAAAAAGTGGTATTCATGGGAATATTAAATTTTTTTGTTTCTGAATCAACGCGCCTTAACACATTACGTGAAACTCCCATTTGCCAAAACCCCTGAACTGTACCTACCGATTTCACTGTGACTCTTATCAGCTGTTATCAGTAAAGTAATTATAAGATAAACACTTACCCTGGCACCCACTTCCCCAGGGCCAGTGACCATGAGCTGGTGGTGTCAAATAACGGAAACCTTGAAGAGCATGGCTGAAGCCGGACTGTTTCTTATTTGATATCTCGAGATATATTTGATCGATTTTTATGATTCAAAGTTGCTCACATAATAACTTTTGACACTTTTCCAAATACTTTACATTATAAACAAGAACCTAGTAGACTTTGGTAGATATTTTTTGTCAGTAAGCTCACAGGCAGAGGCACCATACACCACCTGTTCACGGCTCGTTAACTCTTGATCAGATAAGAGAGATCGCGTTGAAAGCTGCTGAATCTGAAATCGGTAGGTACGACCCGAGTTTGTCATAGGCAAACTCGGGTCTAGCTCAAATGGGAGATTCACGTAATGACTTCTGTTTCTCTGGGAATATTTGAGTTTTCTAAGCAGCCACTTTAGACCTTTAATGTTTAACAACTTCAAAGATTGGGCATTCACTACATCAGGAACACATTGAACTTGGCCTGAAGAAGGATTAAGCAGTAAATAATCAAGGAATTTATGTTTAGAAATAAGGACAGATTTTCAGACTGTCTCCCAATTGCTGCAGCTAGCAATAATGCGCCGATATGAAAGCGGCTGATAGACACGTGTTACTGGCGACCATATATGTGAGGCGTTCTGGCAAAATGAGACAGAACTGGGCAGAGGTTGAAATGAGGGTTTGCAGGGATTAGGAAAGAGAATCAACTTCTCCCTACAATACTGTTTGTTGCACTCCCATCAGACATTCCGTTGACAAGTAATGGCTCACTTTAAAGTTTGCATTTATCGACATGTCAAAAAAGCAAAATACTAAGAAAAGGCCTGTAAAGTTTCCAGTTTTGTATTCATGAAAATGAAAGATGCCAATTATCTTTCCTTAAAAACTCTTGCATTCCATGATTTTTAGACTACATGTTTTACTTCCTTATAAGAATATCAATAAATCTGAAATTAAAAAAAAATCACCCCTTATCATTTTTTTTTTCCATTTTTCTCCACTACGGCCTGTGCCCAGTTGCGTCTCATTTTGCCAAAATGCCTCACATATATAGCCTGATAATATTGACACGGACTTAAGCTTTGAGACGGGACCCACCTTTGGATTGGTGCCATGAAGTTGCACGGTGGCTACAGGGTTCCAGACCATTCCTGCCATTCCATGAGCTGTCACCCCTCCCCCATCTCCCATGGCCATGTTATGATGCATGCCAGACATTGGCTCATGTTGCTCACCAAACCGGCTGACAGGTGTCTGTAGGAAATAACGAGGGGAATAAAGTTAGAGCTCGCAAGCATGATGACATTTCAGTTAAATCTTGAGATACACAAGGTACATCTTGATGAAGTTTTGATTTCTCTATTTGAGTTTCTCAAGGATCGCTGTTCAGTTTGTGCTGGACCCAGAGGGCCAGCCTACAGTCCTCTTTGTACCTCACGGATCGACTCACTGTCACTTGTGAGCTGGGCAGTGCTGTTGTATAGGATTACCCTGTAACACCAATGAATGGGCTAAATCAATTGAATAGGACTGTGTGTACTCTGGAACCAACTTGAATTGCCTTGTAAACTGTTTTCAAGTCCTGAACTCATGCTGATTGAGTGTAGTGGGGGTGGTGGAGGGGTGAGATGCTTACTTGTTCATTTGGAAGCCATCCTCTCTTGACAGTGTCTTGATGGGGGAAGTTAGGCATCCTGTTAGCTGCTGTGCCTGGTATGTCCTCTAAGTTGCTACTTGGGATCCAGTCACCGCTGCTCCCTGGGGGAAAAATTCAGAAAAAACAAGAACTTTTATTAACAATCTGCCATTTATAGGAAAATATTCTCTTGAATGGATGACAACTAATATTTTGCTGATCTGCATGTCCTGTATGTCCATTGGGTTTAGAAATCACAGTGGTCTATTATTTAAATTGTATTTTCATGGCCTGAACTGAAATGTTATCATATCCTTCTGAGTTGATTTTTATAACATTTTTTAAATAACAAGGATCTTTTAGCTCAGTTCTTCAATAAGGATCTTTAAGAACCGAGCCAAGAAAATATGAGACTATTTCACACTCCTATTATCTTGATGCTCCAGATATAGTCAGTTTTCATGCATCTAATGAAAGTGTGTGGTAAATGAAAACTGAGCTTACCTGGTGTATAAGCCCAGATGCTACTCCCTGGTGAACCAACAGGGTAACCCAGATCACTGACAGGTACAACAACAAAGCTGACAGGTGTCCGTGCGTTGCCCTCGACTACGCTCATTGCTGATTGGAATTGGTAAGCGACGATCTTGACCAATGGCTGCTGGAGGCCGGGCCTGAGGCTGTTCAGTTGCCATGGTGACTGGACTGGGCGAGGCAGATGGTCAACGAAGCAAGGCTCCACGTGATGAGTGAGCTGCTCAAAATGAAATTGAAATGATAAAAAAACCTCAAAATTAATGAGAAAAATGAATGTAATGTTTGCCATTAATGATAGACTGTGTTTCATAATTTGGTCAGAACATAATCACAACAAGAATTCAAAGTTACTTCAATTCCATTTTCATTTTCTTACTCGACATTAAATGCAAGGTTTTATTAAAAAGATTATAAATGGATTGACTGACCTGGGTGTCATCTTCATTGTTTATTATGTACATGTACCATCACCTTTCAATTATTGAAAACAAAAAGTAAGAGTCACTTCATGTACTTGTAAGTACTTTATATAAGTGTCCATGAAAAAAATGAACTTTTAGGCCAAAAAAAAAAAGTCTCCGGTTTCTGGTATGCGCGCGCATCGCCGTAGCCAGCGTGTCAGCAAAATGAAAAAGTTTTTTTTTCAAGGAAAGATGATGTCTCAAAACCGACAAACTCACTGGTTTGACTGGAATCCTGCTGCTGCACAATTTTAATGTGTTTTTAGATTGGGTTATGGTCGAGAATAAGCTTTATGTGGCCTCTCTGGACTCCCATATATTTGCACTAAGTTTAGTCGGGCACCATTTGCAGTCATCAGCCGACACTTGAAGCAAAAAAGTCAGGTAAAAAAAAAAAAAAAAGCCGCGTCGCCACACCACTTTTTGGGCAAGCTCCATACCAGAAACCGGAGAATTTTTGTGGGGGCCTTAATAAAAGGCAAGGAAATCTGAATTTGGTGGCACTCGTCTGAAAGTAATTAACAAATAACTTGGGTTTGTAAAAAATTGCAAGATTCAGGATGATGTTCTCTTTATGCTCAATTTTAATAAGAAAGAAAGGAAAAACCTCAACATTGGTTTTTCTTAAATCATTTCTGGATTGATGCTGCAGAAAGAGTACGCAGTTGCCCAAGATTTTCTGACCAAATATGAAAAGACAAATATAAAAAGATCTCATCACAGCCAACAGCAAAGTATTCTGAGTGCCCAGCTGGTAAGTTGCATTTTTTTGTGTGTGGGGGGGGGGGGTTGAAAATGGAGTAAGAAATGCAACTTTTCTAGTTCTGAAAACATGTGCTATATTAGGGCTTAAAAGATGGATGAATCTTAAGAAGTGCAATGTACATACATGTAAGGGTGAGGCTGTGTAGTGATATAGTTAATGTTGTGACATTGGTTTGCATTCAGGCTTGGTGGCCTTTCAAAAGAAAGCAACAAAATCTATTAGTAGCGAGTCTGTAAATTGGCCCAAAATGTAGTAGCAGTGAGCCCGTAAATTGGCCAAAAATTGCAAAACATATGCCCTGTTACTATGGCAATGGTCCTGGTACGGATTTTAAAAGACTTTGGTTATTTACTCCCAAGTCCAATCAAGTTGAAACAATCAAGTTTTGATTGTGGACACTCATATGAAAGATTGACATGAAACAACTCATCAGACAGGTTGGCAATTTTACAACTGAAAATTCTGACTGAAGCTGGTTTGTGAGCTAGGTCAAAGGAATCAACACCTTCTATAGAAATCCAAACTTGTTCATTGGGAGTTTCTTACAAACAGAACACAAAATCAGAGATTAAATGAGTCCATTATGTCACAGAATGGAAGGAACAAGTATGCACAGGTACATGTATTAACACCTCATTTGATGAAATAAGTTTGGAATGACATGTACAATGCACATATGTATGGACACTGATGGTTGCAGGCCAGTAAATAGGCCCAAAATTGCCTACGTCGGCCAAATCACGATTTGTACGCCCTCATTTTTTTGCTTTCATCATTTTGTGGGCCATGAACTTGAAGGTTTGTAAAAAAAAAGAAAAAAGCCGTGAACAGGACTGCCAGCTCGTATTTCTGTGTAATTTGGATGAATTAAGCCCTAAAATTGCTCTACTTTGCAATGCAGCATAGGCATCAGTTTTCAGAATGGCGATGGGTTTCTGGACTATACTTTTGAGGTGATCATCTCTGAATGGAAATTTTTCACAAAAGTCATCGTATTACCACAACACAATTGAACACAAAATGAAAGATGATGAAATCAGTTTTAATTTGATGTGTCTAAAACACCTTGGAGAGTTGTGAGTATTTTTTTCTGAATTTTGGAAGTGGGTGTATCTATCACTGGGGTCTTAACAGTTTATTTAAGTAGTCTGCAACCTGATGGTGTACGTGTACATGTACACGTATGCAAGTACAAAATTAACCTAACTCAGGTCCAAGATACAAACTCAAGTGTAGAGTAAACATGTCAGCAAACAAACAAGATAATGAACTGTACATGACTCAGATCTGGGATCCGCCCACTCTAAAGGTTACGACTATTCACACTCGTTGCATCAAAGTGGAAAATTCCCCCCCCCCAAAAAAAATATTTCAGTGACTTGACTCCTCAATTCCTTCAAGGAAAACTGAGGTCACACCTGGGAATAAACAGGAATCAAACCAGGGGTCAATAGAAAAGAAAACAAGCAGTAGGATCTGAACCAAAGACTCCTCATTTCCTTCAAGGATTACTGAGGTCACACCTGGGAATAAACAGGAATCGAACCAGGGTTGATAGATAAGAAAATAAGCAGTAGGTTTTGAACCAAAGACTCCTCTTTACCAGATCCGCCTCATCAAACGCCTTAACTGCTTGTGCTCTTACATCAAAGTGTCTTTCAGTGATTTGAGTGGGAATTTAAAAGAGGTAAGGAAATATTGTCAGTTCTGTTGAATGAGGTTAAAGGCTAGCTTATAGGAATTGCAGCTTGCTTTAGACTTCAAAACGTGAAGTGTACGCACAAGTAACTGTATGGTGAGGTGTATGCAATAAAAATTTAACAGTGCAGCATGTACATGTAGATAGAATGCATGAACCTATCTAAGGTCCAAAACTCAAGTGTCAAGTAAATATGTACACAGATAAGCAGATATACAGACTGTACGTGTGTGACGTACATGTACATGTATGCAGCAAAACAAAAATCCCAAGCTCTATATATAAACCATGTCACGCGACTTGATGACGATGCTGTGTTTGCCCAGCGCCATCTTTACCAGATCCGCCCCATCAAAAGCCTCAACTGTTTGTGCTCTCCACGTCAAATTGGAAAGATTTGTATTCAAGTGATTTGGTTGAAATTCAAAGAAGGTAAGAAATGAGTGTCAGTTATTTTGAATGAGGTTAAATGCTAGCTTACCAGTACAAGTCATTTGACAGGAAATTCTCACACACAAACACTGATGTCTTGTTCAAAAGTGGATAAAATCAATTTGGTTTTTTTCGCCCAGATGAAACTCACACAGACAGTGCAGTATTAAAAAAGTTACATCAACAAAAGTTATAACCATGTCAATTTCTTTTTAAATACTCTTTGTATATAGATAAAATGGCTACAGCTCTAAAGAACATCGGTCCCCATCTTGAATGCGACATATGCGCAGACAAATATAAACAGCCCAAGGTGCTGGATTGCATGCATAGTTTCTGCCAGAAATGTCTGGAGCAATACTACACCAGCAGGTATGCAGGTCAGCCTAAGATTCCTTGCCCTGTATGTAGACGGGAGACGGTACTCCCACAGACACGCATTCAAGGCCTGAAAACAAATTTCCATTTGATGGGAATAGTTGAGGAGGTCTCACTCCAAGAAAAGGTGGCTTGTTCAGAAAACACAAAGGTCATCTGTGAGATTTGTGATGAGGGAAATGAGGCCATGCATCGTTGTCTGGACTGTGCACAGAATATCTGCCCAAACTGTCGCAAGACACACTTGCGATTTGCTGCTACATCAAACCACACAGTGGCTACTTTGGAGGACATTCGTCAGGGGAAGGTAACAGTGAAAAAAACACCAGAAGAAGATGAGTCTAGATGCCACAAACACAAGGGGGAAGTGAAACGGTTTTACTGTGAGACCTGTGAAGAGTTAATCTGCCGAGATTGTACTGTAGTAGACCACCGTGAACCAAAACATCACTACATTGACTCTGGAGAGGCTTCTCTCAAATACAAACAGTCTCTGAAAGATACCTTTCCAGACTTCACCACAGGCATCAAAATACTTCAAAAAGCTTTGGTCACTTCATCACAAGCTAAGCAGAAGTTTACACAGAACGTCACAAAGACTGTGAAAGTTGTGAAAGACAAAGCGGATAAAATGAGAGCTGAGATATCAACTCAAGAGACAAAGATGATTGAAGAAATCAAACAACTCCAGCAGGATCGCAACAGAACATATGATGAGCATCAGTCAACACTGACAATGATGCTAGAAAGTAAACAACATTCACTAGGGACATCCCAGGATATCATTAACACTGCATCTGACAGTGACTTTTTGTCCCTATACCCTATCATCAGCAAAGACTTGAAATCACTCAAGAGTCAAAATCCTCCCCAGATTGATCCCAAGCTTTCATATCTGAGCCTCACCCCGGGTCAGAGGATTGGTGACATCAATCTGGGCAAGCTGGCAGTCAAAGACAAGTGGGAGATGTGTCGTGAGATTGGTAAAACAGGAAGTGGTCCAGGAAAGTTTGGGTTTGCTCGAGGTATCACTGCTACTCAACCTGGTGAGATTGCTGTGGCAGACTTTATTAACAACCAAGTGGTCATCTGCAGCAATGAGGGACAACACAAGGGAACCATTCCCCTAAAATCAAGTAAGTTTCTTTCATGCACATGTTCATCAACACAAACTTTCATAATTGTGTGGAAATTATAAGTAAGTCTTCCATGTGCACATGCAGATCTGACAACTGAGAATGAAAACCAATAAAATACTGGCAAGGAATTGATGTGCTGGCAGTGCTCCCAACAAATTTGATTTTGTTCTCCCGACAAAACTTCAAAAAAAATTCTTTACATGTACGCCTACACATGTATGTTTAAAAAAATCACACACTGACACACACACAAAATGAAACAAAAATACAACAAAACTTCTTTTATTTCATGTACTGATTTCAGTTTGTTTAGAAGAAAAACTGGTTTTATTTTGGGGTTCTGTAACCTTTAATAACGAGAGGGGTTGCTTTTAGGTTGCTTTGCAAATAAACCAATCTGCCCTGTGAATAGAATGTTCTAGGCTTGATCCCTTTATTAGTGGGTGAGGGGGCTGAGCCCCCATCAAGATCACCCTTTGGTTTTGTCTTTGTTCTTCTTTAGTGTTCATGCTTTGCCTTTTTTTCTGGACAATAAAGCTCCATGGCTTATATTTTAAAAGGCACAGTGCAGGAACTTGAAAATTGG